ATGCCTGCCCATACATTTCCTCTGCTCCAGGGCAGACCCAGCAGTCCGGAGATGACTGATCTCTCTTTTCTCTTCTCCCAGAAATGTCTTCCTCAGAGTCATCGCTCAATATCTTGAAGCACACACCCCATCGAGCCTACTGGGCGGAGCAGCAGAACAGGGTTAGCAGCACCCAGGGAGATGAGGGGTTTTAGTGGAGTGGGGGATGGGCGAGTGGGGGTGGCAGAGGTGAAGGGGTGAGGGTGTTTTGTAGGGTGGCGGGGCAGGCACGTTAGTTGGGGGTCTTGGGGCTAGAGGGAGCAAGCAGGTGGGGCACTTCAGTTCTGGGCAGGGCCGGGGTCCCTTGGACATCTGAACCTCTTGCTGCCTCTCCAGCTGCCACTGCCTCTGATGGAACTCATGGAGAATGAAGCTCTGGAAATCCTCACCAAAGCCCTCCGGAGTAAGCCCCTCCCTCAGACCCCACAAGAGACCCTGGGGGATTTTGCAGGGCTCAGGCTTCTGGGAGTGGGAGTTCAGGATGTGTCTACCCTGTCAGATTCCCTTACCACCCACCGATGTTCCAGGAGCCCCACCATAAGTAAAAAGTCGGGGGACTGGCCACAGGGACACCCAGTGGGGAGAGCATGAGGCCTGGGCTCCCGCCTCGGGGCAGCTCCTTTTTAGCTGATGTGGCTTTTCTAAAGCTGTTTCCATCCCCCTGCCGAATGGGGATGACAATCTTTGTGGGGTCTTGGCCCCCTCCCTTGGTGCTGTGAGGAACCTCTGAACAATGGATTCCTTGCGTGAAAGTTCCCTTGTTTGCCCTGCTTACGAAATAACGGAGGGGTTGCTGGCTAATCACTTAGAGTGGGTGGCCCAGCAGGGGTTCACAAAGCTGCAGGCTACCACTGTCCTAGTTCAGGCCTGCAACATCGCTAACCTTGCCCTCATCCACCCTCCACCTCAACACTCTGATCCTCCTCCACACCCCCCATCTGTTTGGAGTGCAGGTGTATGACTTGACCTTTTGAAAGAAAACCGTCAGGGCCTAGCACCTTGGAGATTCAAAGTTTCCCAGATTAACACACACCCGAGCGCCAAGCGCTCCTGCCACCCCAAATCACCCGCGGTTGCTCAATTGTCACATGCGGCACGCACTGCTGGGGAGGCCATGCCCCCTGCTCCCTGCCCTAAGCGGAGCTCTGCCCTCCAGGCTACCGGTCAGCCATAGGCCGGGACCACTTCCTGACCAAGCAGCTGCAGCGATCTATCGAAGGGCTCAAGAGGCGCCGGAGCAAGAGGCTGAACCCCTTGGCGTACTGAGAGCACCGCCTCGGGCTCGAGGGACAGCCGGACTCCAGCCCCGGGCCCTTGTCCTGTCCCCAGACCCAAACCTGACCCCGTCCACGTGGAATTTGAGTCCTAGAGAAATAAAAGACTCTTGTGCACAATCGGTGAGTCAGTGCGTGGCTGCCCGCGTGAGGCGGACGCACGTGGCCCCGCCTTTCCCCGTGACCTTCACTCGGTCACCGCAGTGACCTTGAGCGTTCTTCTGTCCAGGCCCTATTGGCTCCGCCTTCCCGGGACTTGAAATCCAGGAGTTCTTGCATGTTTTATGTCTGCTTCTCCCACCCCGGGTCCAGCGGCTTTGTGGGGATATTGGATCTGCGGTCCAAGTGCCCCGATGGAGTAATCTTGGGGGAAGGGGGAGAAGGGAGAGGGGCAGCGCCTCTCTAGTATGGGCACGCTAGGCTCCGCCCTTCATGCATATGCAGTTACACTAACCTCTCTGTTCCTCCCGCCTCATTTACATATGTAAGTCTCCCTGCCCCGCAACTGCGGCCCCTGAGCCGCCTCGCCCACTCATCTCGCGCACAGCGCGCTCCGCCTCCTTCGTTACGTAAGAGCGCTCATGGTTCCAACCCCCTCGCCGAGTCTCCTCTGGCCCCTCCCCCTTGGCGGCCGCCTCCCCGAGTGCGCCAATCTGGCTCGGCGGCGGTGGGCGGGACCTTCATGAAGGCCCGCCCTCTGGCTTCGCCGGCTCCGCCTCGACCGGTCCGGGCACGCAGGCGCTGCCTGCCCCACTTGTCTGATTAGCATAGGGCGCCGAGCCCCGCCCCCTGCTTTGCATGCGCACGGCCGGCCCCACCCCCGCTGTCAGCTGGAGGAAGCAGAGTAGGAAGCGGCCGCGATGTCCTTTTGTGTCCTACAAGCCGCCGGCGGCGCCGCCGAGTGAGGGGACGCGGCGCGGCGGGGCGGTGCGGCCCGAGGAGGCGGCGGAGGAGGGGCCGTTCGCGGCCCCAGGCTCACCCCGGCGCTCCGGGCCGCTCGGCCCCCATGCCTGCCCGCCCGCCCTGCCGGAGCCCCAGGTCCGGGGGCGGAGGGGAGCGCCGCTGGGGGGGTGGACGGGCGGGGCGCGGGGGCCATGTGCGAGCGCGGTTGGGAGGCGGGCGGGGGGGCGGGCTCCGGGCGGGTCCGGCTCCAGGACCAGCCCGGGTCACGGTTGGGACCGGGTCGAGAGCCAGACGGGGTTAGGGTCTGGGCGGGATCCGGCGTTCAGGTCTTAGTGCGTCGGCCCGGGACAGGGGCCGGTTCTGGCTCGGGCTGCAGGTCCTGGCCAGGGTCAGGCTTGGGCCTCGGGTCCAGTCCCAGGGCAGGGTTCAATCCGGCACCTGGAGCAAGTCGAAGTCCCAGGGGCGGGCCGGGGTGGAAGATAGGGAGGGTTCCCTGTTGGAGAAGGGGCTTTGAAGACCACGTGGGGGCGCTCAAAGGGGCCTTGGGCCACCCTCCTCTCTGGGTCAAAGGTCATCGCACCGGCGGGGGAGAACTTCCTCCTCCTTGGCGCTCCCCATTTACTTCCTGATAACCTGATAGAGGTCCCCCGCGGGCGGAGGGGGAGGGGAGGCGAAGCAACTTTAGGCAACTTCCCGTAGGTGTGCGCAGGTTGGGGGGGGCGGGGCGCCCCAGAGGTGGAGGATTCTGCGGCAGCGGGAATGGAAGAGTGAATGTGCTTCCCGGGGGTTGGGGGTGGGGTGGGGTGTAAGGAGGTGGAGCCGCGTCCGCCGGTGGGCATGGGATTGGCATGCTTGGGCAGGAGGGGCGGTGTGTCAGGTGTGGAAAGGCTCTGAGTGTGTTCCCACAAGTCTATGCCAGTGTGTGTCAGTGTGGGGGGCATGGTGAGTGGGAGTGAGTTTGTGTGTGGGGGGTGATTGTGAGCCTTGAGTGTGACTTTGTTTATGGGGTGTGAACTTTGGGAGGAGTGTGTGAAGATTAATGGGAGCACGAGTGAGAGGTGGGGTTTGGGGAAGGCCATGGTGAGGCATGGGAAGTGCCCCGCAGAGAGTGAGCATGTGTGAGCACGTGAAGACACCTAGAACCCAGGTGAGTGGGAGTGTGTGAACCCACACTTGTGAGCACATCAACTGCCCTTGTGTGCCTGGTTTGCGCTTCTGAATGGAGGACACCCAGGTGAGGGGGAGATCATCGAGGTCCCCAACATCTGGTGAAAATTGAGAGGTACCTTGCTGCTGGCTGGGGATTCCAGAAGGGGTTGAAGATTGCCTGGGGACTAAGATTAACCCGCTTCCGGGCTCTGAGTGGGAGTAAGGAGTTTCCAGGCCTCCTCCAGGATCCCAAGTGGGAGACCTTGCCATCAGTTACAGGCCCTGGAGGCTTTGGAGACTCTGTTCCCATAGCAACAGCTGGGGGGGGGGGCGTCTTCTTGGGCAGCCCTTCCTTGGACTCTGCCCCCCTTCCCTCCCCCTCAGTGAGTCTGGAAGCCTGGCTCTAGGCCTGGGGTTGGGCAACCCGGGTGGCACGGTGTCTCCATCCCCCATCCCAGTGTCTCCCTGTGACCTGACAGGTCTCTCCCTGCAGGTGACCAGCGCCATGTCCAGCCAGGTGGTGGGCATTGAGCCTCTCTACATCAAGGCAGAGCCAGCCAGCCCCGACAGCCCAAAGGGTTCCTCGGAGACCGAAACCGAGCCCCCAGTGGCCCTGGCCCCTGGCCCAGCTCCCACCCGCTGCCTCCCAGGCCACAAGGAAGAGGAGGATGGGGAGGGGGCTGGGCCTGGCGAGCAGGGTGGTGGGAAGCTGGTGCTCAGCTCCCTGCCCAAACGCCTCTGCCTGGTCTGTGGGGATGTGGCCTCCGGCTACCACTATGGCGTGGCGTCCTGTGAGGCCTGCAAAGCCTTCTTCAAGAGGACCATCCAGGGTGAGCCCCCACCATACTCCTATGCCCTTTGCCCTCTGGGCCTAGCGTCCCCCAACGGGTGGCAGTAGGCCCCCAGACAGCTGCGGTACAACTTGGGGTTCCCGGGTTCCTCCTACCTCCTGGGAATGCCATTTTGCTAAAAAGTGAAAGCCACCAGGATGCGTTGATGGATGGGAGGTGGAACGTGAGAGAGGCCTCGGGAAGCCTTCTAGGTTTCTGGGTACTGTAGGCCTAGCACCTTCCACAGTGGCTCTGAAGAATTTGAGGCAGACTCTGCCCGCTCCAAAATGTTGTTCTAGCTTCTGGCAGCTGCTCACCTCTCAGCAGCATAGAACATTCCCCTTTGGTGGATTTCCCCAAAGCAGCAGCAGCAGCACAAGGCAGGTCTTTATGGGGTAACTGAGAGCGGCTACGTCATACTTCGGCACCTAACTTTAAAAAGACTTTTTAGGTAAAACAGGCCTGCTGCCAGTATTTGCTGAATTCTTCTCACTCAGGGAAAACCTAGCAAAACATGAGTGAGCATGACGGAGACATATAATAAGCATTACTTGAGATGTGCTTGTTACTTCTATTTTTATGGAAATCACTGGTTACTTCAGGGCTTAGATAACGTGTACTTTTGGGGAGCATTTCTTGAGGGCTTACCCTAAGCCAGGCACTGTGCCCTCTATGCGTCTGATCTGTTACTCCCCCGGCAACCCATAAGGTGCCAGCACTGGGACCATGGCGGAGGCCCAGGAAGCTTTTTCAAACCTTGTTCGAGTCCCACAGGTAGAAAATGGCAGAACCGGCATTTGAACTTGGGTCGATTTAGGTCCGCCGCTGACTGCTGCCTCTGCTTATGACTTATAACTGAACTTCGGACCGATGGCTCCCAGTGGGTTGTGACGTTCCAGTGGGTTTTGATCTGGCCAAGACCCACTGCTCTAAAACCACTTGTGCTCTCTTCTGGTTCTGAAGGTCAGTGAACTAACAGGTTCTACCCACCCTGGAACCTTTCACTCTCTG